ATTTGCCAACCCCTGCCTAAGATTCTAGAAAAATGAGTCCTAGAGTGGATGGGAATGGGGAAAACAGTAGGAAAATGGCAGGATGGGAGCTAGTATACAAAATGTTTGCCACACTTGATGGAATACCACTGCAGATTTGGTTTTAAACTTTTTAGATAAAACAAAAATTCCCAGTTCTTTGTGGAAAAACAAGCCCATTGTTCAGGTAAAACAGAACTCTTCTGTTTCTGAGGCCAGGGGAAAACTTCAATCATGGATTGCGACACATAAAAAAATCTCAGCATGGGCTTATGGGGTTGTCTCAGCACACAACTTAGTCAAAAGTCTATTCTGTGTGGGATCTAGTACAATTTCCATGAAGTAACTGACATGGGATTATCTGGCTTGATCCTCTGACATATCTGTGTGATCACAGTTATTTAACCTTTTTGTACATTGTTTTTCATATCTGTAAAATGGGAGAAACAGCTCACCCCACAAAGTTATTGCTAAGATTAAAAGGAGTAACAAAATATCTGGCATATAAGCAGCATTCAAAATATAATATTAATTCTCTCCCCGTTTTCTCCCTTCCTTGCTAAGATTTGACTTTTCTGGGAAGTAGCCAAGAAAGGCCAGGCTGCTATGTACACATTTGTTTCAGTTTAAGTCATATACTGACCTTCACATCAGACTGGTAGAAAATTGGGTAACTCTACTTATAGTGATCACAGTAAATAAAGTTTGTTTTGACTGTCACTGAGCCTTGAGATCAGCCAAATCCTATCAGATCAGTACACATAGTAACTGATCCCTGCCTTTGCCATTTTCTGCTGCAAAATTCAATCCCAGAACCTTTCTCTTTTTCCCCTTTCCCCACGGTCCTGTCCCCTATGCTAATGGCAGCAGCTGCTATGATCCAGTGGTGTTAAAGTTCAGTACCTATCTGACTTGTTCAGTATCAGCCAAACTATCTTAATCTGAGCCACAGCATTGTGAAGCTTTGCTTTCTGTTGTAAATCAGTTAGCAACAGGCTGGCTTGATGCAGCTTTTTTCAGAGGTCTTGGCCTCTAGCCTTGGCTACAGAAACCGGAACTTGAGTTGGCTTTGGTCTTTGTGGAGGATAAGCCAAACCTCTCTTGTAGTTGCTTCTTTGAACTGCAGCCACTCCTCTTCCTTACCTCTTCTTCCCTCTCTTCTTCCCCATTTTGGCTAATGCTCTATATCAGATTCCTGGGTGTCATGTTATCAATGAAATAAAAGCTTCAAATAGTTCTGATCTTGAGCTCTAGCTGATAGTTGTTTGCTCCTAGAGGAAGCAGTCACCTTAGCTGGTCCCCTCTGCATCTCACAGTTGTCATTACATTTCAGCTGCTGGTCAGGACACTTCATTGCCTTAGTGATCCAAATGTGCTGCCATTTTTCTCTCACCCCCATCTTTACCCCTTATAATGATCCAACATTTGAGAGAACTTGATAATTTCAGCAGTTTTTTTCTCAGCATTTAAAAATAGCAACGACATCATTGGGATCTTGTACCTTTACATGACAGGTCTTGCTTCTCAGTTTTTCCTCATACCCCTGCCCTCCCTTCACCCCCCCTTCCCTATTTACAAAAAGTTTATTTCCATTTTTTTGTTTTCTCATATTTTTTTCTTTTCCCTTATTTCCTTTCCCCTGCCCTTCTCACTTCCTCTGATGAATGTAACTGTACTGCATACCTAAAATGTACCAATAAACTCAATGAGGAAAAAAATAGCAAAGACATGATACATTTTGAATTGCTTTCTCCAATGACAGTGAACTTAATAAAATCAACAGTGTTTGATAATACAGTTTTATCAAGGGATTTTTCTGTTCCAGACATGGAGTTGGGTACATTTTCTTCTTCCACTGTATCTATTCATTGTGACAGGCCTGTAGGATAGTTTTATTCTTCCCATTTCATAGGTTAAAAAAAAACTGAGGCTCACAGACATGAAACAACTTGCTCAGAATCACTCAGGTTGTGAGGTGACGAGATGAGGCTTGTACTAACGCTTCTTGGGTCCAAGATCCAGATTGTTGTTTTTTAAATACCACATTGTTATCTTTTCAGCTGCTTTAGCTACCTTCTGTTTCTGTTTTTCTAAGTGGTACAGTACTCACTTTTGGGGGAGACAAAAATCATACAAGCTCCATTATTCCTTTATTTGATGTTATTGCCTCTTACTAGTCCTGGCTTTGTAAAAGGCAAGTATGTGGCTACCGCAAGGGGTTTAGGAATTTCCTTTGAGGAATGAGGAGAGAGGAGGACTATATCTTGTCTTACTTACACGTACTTGCTCATTTATTCGGACATAGTACTATGTGATGGGAGAGACATAGCTCAAACGCCATGGTCCTACCTTCTAAAAGTTCTTGGTGAAGTTGGCAAGCAGGCATCTTCTTGTTCCAGCCCAGTGTATCCATACTATAGCAAGAGTAAGAATAAATACAGTAGGAACATGTGGCAAAGAGCTTTTTAGTCTGCCTGAAGCAGTGAGATGAAAGTAGAGAGCATAGTATAGGATCCTATGATATGTGGGTTTAGAAACCTCATAAGGTCCTTTCCTTGGTCTTGACTAGAGAGAAATAACTGCATCTGGTGGTATGCTCCTGGGTTTGAAGGAAGGATACTTGCAAGGCCTTGCTTATTCATAGGGCTGTCAATCCTCCACCAGGGTGACTAATGCTATGAGTGACATTTACATCTACTTTAAAAGTATTAGGAACAGACTTGCCTCTGTAGTAATGAGCGTTGCTGGCCATTATCCACACTTTCTTGCTTGGACTCATTATACTTTAATAAGCTACTCCATGGTTTTTCATTCTCTGCCTTTCTTGGAGCCCAGCTCCAGATTTTTCCACAAGGGTAATTAATGGATAAGGTGAGTTTGGAAGAATGCCATCGAGTCAAATAGAGCATTCTAGAAGACTGGAGGAATCTACAAGTGGAAATGGCATCCTCTTACTCTGTGCCCCCAGGTTGGGTGTAAGGATGTGTATAAGGAAAGTTGAAGAAAGTTGCTTAAGGATAAGGACTGAGGACTGTTAGGTCACAGGAAATCTGCAAATTCTTAAAGTTCTTTGGTTACTGTCATTTGACAGAAAATAAGGAAGGGAAGGAACAGGGTGGGCTGGAGAAAGAGATCAAATTTGTCATACAAGCCAAGTTATTGATGAAGGTTACAAAGAAATTGAAAGGGAGTACTGTTTGATACAAAGGCCATAAGCTAAAGAAACCTAGTGGCTAAAACCTCAGGATCTGACTCTCTTTATTCCTAGCTGTGGAGCTCCAGGCAAATCATAACCTTTCTGAGCCTTAGTTTTCTCATTTGTAGAAGGAGGATAATAAGTATGCCCATTTAATTGTCATCACAATGATGGGAGACATCTGTATGCTTGGCACATCGTGAATGCTTAGTGAATGGTAGTATTTGTTCTGTTTTTGCAGGAGACTGTTACTAGCTACACGACTTTCTGTAGGTTAGCTTTATTTCTTTGTGTCTGATTTCCTCACTGCAAATGGGGATAATACTTCCATTGCAGACAAAATTCTGTAGAGGATTAAATTATATGAGGTACACAAAGCATCTACTAATATAAGAGAAGTTTAAGAAGCAGTAGAACTCCTAGTAATAGCCTCTCAGGAAATGATAGGCGTGGAGATAGGATGTCTACTCATCTATGTACTACAACCAATAAGAAGTGTCAAACCTAAAATTCAGATTGCAAAAAAGAGTTCAAAGCTACATTTAGCCTGTTCCCGACTATGCTGAATACCCAGAAAAAGGCAAGCTATTGTTGAAGGAAGGGGCACAAAAAGATTCTTAGCCATTCCTCTGGGTCATGCTCAAGTCTCATTTCATTCTCAAAACCTTACAATCTGCTCCAGGGAACTCCTTCTTACCCCACATCTTGTACCCAAGTTTGGCTCTCTAATATAGATTGTTGAGTTTTAGTGTTTATACTTATTTTCAATGAATGCATCTTCTCTCCCCAACTCAATTTTAAGACTTATTATGGACTCTTTCAAATCATTTTTGTATGTTACTTTTGAAAGCATAAGGTTGGACATGAAAGCCCTTGTAAAACTCCTGTCATATTAAATACCTTTCAATGTAGATTTCAGAATAGCCCTCAAGCTTGGGGATATCATGTTTATGTGTGTGTGTGTGTGTGTGTGTGTGTGTGTGTGTGACTTATAGTCCAGCTGGAGACCTAAAATGGGAAAGCTGTCTCCGTTGGCCTTCTAATAAACTGAACTATATTTTTTTATTCAGTAAATATTTGTTGAATATCTGCCAGTTACATGCAAAGCAACTTACTTGGGTCTCTTGAAAATACAGAGATGAATCCCACCTGGGTCTTGCTGTCAAGTTTCTCCCATTCTAACAGAGATACAGCCTTGAAAGAGCCAAAATAAAGGATTCAAAGTACATAATAATCATTGCTTAAGAGTGAGAGAAACTTGGATCATCTTAGGCTCCCTAAGAGATATGGCATTTAAGCTGATGCAAATTTGGGCATGTGGGAATAGGATAAAAAGCATCTTAAAAAGAGATGATTAATTATAACACATGTACATAGAACAATGAATAATACTGTTTGCATGGTAAGATATGTGAAGAAGAATGATGGAAAGTCAGATCAGAAACCCCACTTTGAGGCCAAATGAAAGAGAGTAGTGAATGCCAGGTTAAACACTTCTGGGTGTATTCTTCAGGTAACATGGAGCCATAAAATCTAAATCTATTTAAGAAAGAGCCGGGGGCGGGGAATTAATATGGTTTGAGTGGTTTCCAGGGTACTTTCAGGTATGCTTTTAGGCAGCATATAAAAGTCAGTTTAGAGAGGTATAGGTCTACAGACTATAGACCTACTCATCTGGGAAACAGTCCAGTCCCCATATTGTACAGGTAGGGAAGTGAGCTAGTGAAGGTCACACAAATTAGTTTTCATACAAAGACTAGAATCTGGGTTTCTTGACTCCTGCTTCCCTCTCTGACTTTCAAGTTTGACATTATAACATAACTGGGACTGAGACAAATTAGAGGCAAGAAAGAATAACATTGGGGTCTTCCAGCCAAGAAAACCTTTTGCTGCTATTTCAAAATTTGACTTGTAAAGAATCAACAAGTTGCAGCTACAAATAAAAGGCATAGGAGGATGCAGGATAAATGATGTTTGTTTTCTAAGGCCTAGACTGATACTCATTTATATGTGTCTCTAATGTGGGTATAAATGGTATTCATCTTTGAGGGATGTCATCTGGTTCACTCACCAAAGGAACCCAAAGAAACAGGGCAGCACCGTCAGCTCTGGAAATCTGTGAGTTTCACTGAGGAAGCGGTGTCCTATGGCCTAGGGGTTCTCAGTCTTGGGTGTACATCACAACACCTACAGAGCACTGAATATGCCCATGCCCTGATCCTATTCATTTAGAAGCTGTACAGATGGATTTCAGGTATTATGTAATTTTAAAGCTTTTTGCATTTTCCTAATATGCAGCCAGGGTTGAAAGCCACTGGTAGTTGGTACTGCTTGGACTTCAGGAATCAGACAGGCCTGGATAAACTATAAGGTTGCTTCTTATCTTAGAGTAGAAAAAGGATAATACTTTCTCCAGAATTATGGCTAATACTAACAAAAATGTACACAAAGCACTAAGTATGGTACTACAGAGTCGGGGGCAGAACAGGTATTCAATTAAAAGGTAGCTAAGATATTTTCTGGTATTGCTTTTTACCATTATCATTGGTAATTTTATATTGTTAATAATAACAACAAAGCAGCAGACATTGGGAGAAGCAGTGGATGTGGGAACCAGAGATACGACTTTCAATCCTCACTCTATTGCTTACCTAGCCACATGGTTTGGGGTAAATTGCTTTACCTTTCTGCACCACGGTTTCCTAAGAGTATATAAAGTTATTAGAAAAAAAGATTATTATTATTTTGGTTATTTTTGCTGGTATAGTGCTGTATATCCATCCTAGTGCTAAGGGACATGTCATGCCCAGAAATGTAAGATATAGACTAGGTGGGGAGACAGAATTTATATGTGTGAGAATGAATGTTTTGTTCACTCATTCTCTGGATAACCAGTCACACTATATTATTGTTATCTCTTTTCTTATCTGTCTCACCAGAATGGCTAGGTGGATGAATTAAAAAGCGTACACATGGACCAATATTTAAGCACTTCATGAACATTTACATGGATGAAAATTATGTATGCCTGCCAGAATGTTCAGGGGGTGAGATTTGATATGAGTCTTGAGTGAAGGTTACAGTGCAAGTGATATGAGATCAGGGACATTTAAAGAGAAAGAAACAGGACAGAGTCTGGTACTTACCCCTGCTATGTGCTAGGTATGATCTATAGTCCATCTCATTTAGCTCTTACATTCATCTGGGGGATGGGAAGCGTTATGTTCTGAGATGATACTCAAAAAGGTGCAGTAACTGTCCAGGGTCTCACAGCTTGGACATAGTAGAACAAGAATTATATCTGCACAATGCCAGACTCTATACTCTCTATAGCATACTAAAAAATAAGGGTCAAGAGCTTGCTTTGATTGGATCTTGAGGAGAATGGTTTGATAGAGTACAGCTGGTAGATAAAATCCAGAGACAGTAAATTATGGCCACCTTGTGGTCAGCCTTGAATTTATGTTAAGGAGTTTGAACTTTGTTCTATGCATTTTGGTCATGAAGGAGAGGAAAAAGCATAAAAATAATTAAAGAAAATTGTGTAACAGAATCATACAAGTTCAGTTAATATGTTTTTATGTTTACCTTAAACATTTTTGTAGAAAAATTCAAATGAATATCAAGATCTGATGAAACAAACAAATATCAGGATCTACTAACACACAGTTCTACATATGTAAATTTTAGTATTCATCAGGCATGAGCACTTTTTGTGGATTTTTCTCTTTTTTGCTTCCTATTCACATGCATATTTTGTTTTGACCTTGTCCAAATCGTTGTCAGTGTATGTACAGTATAGTATGTGTTGGTTAAATGCTTGTAAGAGTTGAACTATTTGGTTAGCCTTTGTGGTTGGGTCTTACTTTTTGCTGTTAAAATGCATATTTTTGTACCTTTTTTTCTTTTTCTCTTTCCGTCTGGATTAAGTCCTTTGGGTCTGTTGTTCATAGCAGAATTACTGAACGAGCAAGTATGAGCTATCTCATATGCAAGATTTTTCATTTCATCTACATTGTTCTGCAATGCTTGATGAGTAACTAGATAGAAAAAACCTAGTTTAGAGTGCCACCAACAATGTATGGATAAGTCTGTTTCACCGTAATTCTGCCAGAACAATTTTATAAAAAATATTTATATTTGTTTTGCACCAAATGACCTGGAAGGCAGAGATGTGAATTCAGGAAGGTGAATTAGGTGAGTTAGGCCTAAGCGAAGACTTGGATTTCAGTGTTGATACGTATATCAAATTCAAATTCATCATCAATTACTTACCATCTACTGTGTGCCTGGCATGTACTAGCTATATTATCATCTACTTTAATTCTCTCAACATCTCTATCAAGTAATGTAGTATTGATCTTGGTTATATAACTGAGGAAACTAAGCTTTAGGAAATTATATGATAAACCTAAGGTGTCTGAAATTCCAGAGCTGGGATTCAAACAGACTTTCTTGAAGAGACAGCTGCCAGAAGAATTACAAAAAGAAAAAGACAGTTGTTAATGACTGAGAAGAAGTAGAGGCCAATGAAGGTGACCCAAGTAACTCCAATATTGGCTCATGAGTAGTGATCCATTTGTCCAACTATTCAAGTCTCTGATGTTGTTCTCTCTTCCAGGGGATGCTGACAGTTTCAGCAAAGTGCGACCTCCAGGAGAAAAGCCAACCATCATCCGCCCTCCAGTGAGGCCCCCAGACCCTCCTTGCCGGGCAGCAACTCCCCAAAAGCCTGAACCAAAACCAGAAATTGTGGTTGGCAATGCAGGGGATGTCTCATCATCTGTGTAAGTAGCATTGTTCTTGAGCTTGACCTCAGATCTGTCATAGGCCACCAGTATGACTGTCTGTGACTGCTCAGTGCACAGCCCTGGGGTATCATTCACTTCAGCATCTTGATGACTAGTATGGGTCAGGCCTATTGGGAGTGCTCCACTTAATACCAAAGGCTGAGAGATCCTTTAAAAATGAAGACTTTGAACCTTAGTACTGCTAGGAGACCCATTTCTCTTAGCTTCCCTGGTCACTGTAACATGATAAAATCATTTTCTGTTTTTAACCAATCTTGAAATTTCTTTTTTATTCCCTTATTATTGGTACTGGTTCTAAAATAATTTAATGAGTACATTTTTTTATTGTGCTTGTGCTTGAGGTTTTTCTTTTCTTTAGCAAAGAATATCATTATTTTTTAAATCTTCCAAAATGACTCAAGTTCTCCAGAGAGCTTGTCACAGGGTAGAAGCTGAGCTGACATCTGGTAGGCCTTCCTAAGGCAGGGCTGCAAGCCAAGGACTCAGGGAAGGAGCACTAGCATGGGTCCACAGCAGCGCTCAGGGTCCATCCTTGATGGCCACAGCCAGCCTGACTGAACTTTCATCAGTCAGTGACTGGGACCGTTGCTCTCCATACCACCTCCTGATCTTTCTTTTTCTTGTGTTTCTTGTTTTCCATAATTGTAAGATTGGGGAAAGAACAAAGCCTCCACAGCTTTAACCAATTAGCTAAGTATATTTATAAAAGCCAAAAATTATACTTTGAAACTGAAAAAAAAATATTTTCACTTATTTCTCCTGAAAAAAGGCTTAAATGAGCAACAAGTTTAAGACCATTCTGGACCGACAGGGAAGGAAGGATATTATCTATGGCTTTGCCTATGGACTCTTGGCCATTTCCCACTCTAATACTGGATCGATCCCAATACCCAAGCTCTGCCAACAAAGGCAGGACCTCACATTGGTAACTCATCTGGTTCAGAGGCTCCTGTCCTTTGTATTGGCCTGTGGTTCTCACATGTATTCCAGAACAACTCATGAGACTGAGCTGACTTCTGTTTGCAGGGTGGCCTCCAGGACCAGGTTCTTTGAAACAGCTTCCCGGAAAACAGGAAGGTAAGGACACAGCAACAGCAGAAAAATCAAATCATTCTTTAATAATGCATCATTAGCTTCCCTTTGAGTTTCATTCTTACCTTCTCTGTTTCTATCTATCTATAGTTCTCATATTCTCTCCTACCTCCAACTTTATCTCTCCATGTGTTTTGCTGTCTCACCTGCATCTCAGTCTTTGTCTCTGTTTCTGTCATCCACTTTTTCTCAATGTCTGGATTTCTCACTCTCATTCTTTGTATTTTTATATCTGTGTTTCTGTTTGTGTCACTCTTTCTGTCTTTTTTCTTTCCTAGTGTCTGTGTCTATATGCTATACTGTGTCTTGCCTCTTAATTTCTCCATCTGTTTCTCTCTCTTCCTCTTTCTCTGTGTCACAGACGTGCCTATGTGCACATGCTCATACACAAATGTAGACCATTTTTAAAAAGTGCTTATTTAGACCCCATTATATTTGAAAATGACAACCTGAGAAGACATGTAGAATGCGTCATTCTACCATAAATGCCCTCAGAGTAAGCATGGCACCCTTTTTCAAAGGTAAACAGTAGACACAGGCAGTGATTCTCACACTGACTGCATGTCTTAATCACCTGGAAAACTTTGAGAAAAGAAATCACAGATTACTAGCTTCCACTCTAGACCTGCTAAAACAGAATCTCTAGGAGGAGAGCCTATGAATAATTTTTTTCTTGTTTTATGCCCTTCTTCCCTCCCTCCCTCCCTCTTTTCCTCTTTCTTACCTCCCTTCCTCCCTCTATTCCTTCCTTTTTTGCATCTGTTCTTAAAACTTCCCAAGTGCTGGTACAGCCTGTCCAAGGCATGGACATTTGGGACCCTTTAAACTAGAACACGTGGAAAAGTGATTACTTAGCCTTCAGGGTGTCTTCTGTGAGTTTGTGCCCTGTTTCACATCAAAGAGTTTGAAATTGTGTTTTCTAACATGTGATAGGAATACAACTCTTCTAGGTGGTAAGTTAAAAGCAGAACAATGTATTTTTACCAGCAGTGGAGTTGGGAGAGATTTGATATCCTTTAGTCAAAATTGAAGGACCTGACTTACCAAGGTTTGATTATGCACAACAGGTTACCTTAGTGTTAATTGGCAATGAACAATGGGGAACTCTAAGCTAGGATAGATTCTCTTTAGACAACAATTTGCCATTTATTATACCTTAACAGATGAAAGTAACATCAAGCCCCCAGATTTCTCTTACAAATAGCATAAAGATAATAATAAGGCATGCAGCTGTAAGCAGGACTGTTTCTTTGTGATCCTTCCTCCTTCCCTCGGATAAGTCATTTGAGGAATAAATACCAATAAAATTGAATGAATAAACTAGAATAAACAAAGAACTGGGCATATCTAAAGGAAAAATTTTAAAGGAGATGATGTCTGGGCTAGGGTTTGAAAGGTAGGTAGAAATACACAGGAAACTATGGAGAATGGATCTGTACCCTTGAACAAAGAACCAAGGCATGGAGAAGAGAATATGGGAGAGGCATACAACAGAATCCTTAGGGCAGGCAAACTTCTAGTAGGGAAGCTATAGCCAAACTGGTGTTGCAAATGTACCAAGATGGGTAACACTGCCAATAGGATGCACTTTATTAGCCAATGCTCAGAGAAGCTTTAGACCAACCAAAACCTAAGAAGACTGTGGCCAAAGCAGGTACTTCAGGCTGAAGTAGTACTGTGCTTACCTTATATTCTAATTTATATAACAATGGTGGCAAAACTGTGGCATGCGTGTTACAGATGGCTGTTTGTATCATTGAAAGCTCTAAAAGATTCCCCATCATTGTTCTAGAACCTAGACTTAATCTTCTTCATTTCCAGATTCCAGTTTGGAAGGAGTGTAGGTAAGACCCAAGTGGCTATACTTCTTTTCCAATACTGTCATGAGCCACCATCCCATGTTCCCATAGACAACTCCTATTCAGCATCCACATAGGGAAAGCATTTCTTCTATTTAGGCCTCCACCACATAAGCATCACTTGCATCAGTGCAACCACATGCAGGCCACTGAGCAAGGTCCTCAGACTAGTTTACAGTCAGTCTCATCCAGTCATTGTTGGCAACCTTTTCTCTCATCTATGATGAAAATGAGGATCTGTTTAACCATTGTTTTGTCCCTTTTGCTTTCCATTGACATACCTAATGGTAGCATGACGGTTGAATGACACCACTCCTTATGGTCCCTTCTACAACAATTTTTTTTTAATTAACTAAAAAACAAGTAGATAAACACGCACTGCTCCACCATTTTAAATGACATGTATGTACACCGGGTTCTCATCATGAATGTAACCATAATGTACTATAAATATGTACTTTTAAAAAATGAAAGCTAAAAAATAGAATACTGGGGAAAACAAAAAAATTAGTAAATGTTCACTAATGAGAAGGGTACAGAGGACATTTCACAGTCTCAGATCAGCTTATATAACATGGGTTCAAAAGTGATTAGTGGTCCACTTTGGGTAGAACATTTGAGCAAGTAGAGGGAAGGTAGGTTGGAGGTGAGATCAGAAAAATGGATTGGGGTCAGATCATGAAGATCTTGTACAACATATTAAGGTGCTTAATCTTTATCCTGTAGTTCATTGGAGAGAGGATCATAGGTGATGCTTAAATGTAAAAGTACAAATTCTGAAATGACTGCATTGTGAAAAAGTCATTCTAGTGGTAATGGAGAAGAGAGGAGAATAAAGACTGGAGGCAGGCAGACCAATAAGGAAACCGATCATCCTGGCAAGAGTTAATGAAGTCCTGGCCTATGACATTGCCCCTGGGAATGCAGTAGAATGAACAGATTTGACATAGGGTCAGTATGACCCTGATTACTTTTTAAACATGGGATATTGTAGAAGGACTGAAAAAGAGAAAAGAGTGTCTTGGGCAGTTAAGTTGGTGGTATCATAAGCATAGAGGAGCAGATTTCATGAGGAATCTGTTGTGCTATATTTTACACAGTGATTTTGAAGACATTATGGGGCATCCAAGGAGAGGTATCCAGTGTGTAACTGTACTTTAAACCAGTAATTGGGACAGGACCTTCATAGATGTACAGGTAGAAATGTTGAGGACAATTACTGTGCAACTCCAATGGGGAGCATCTGAATATACTACAATAAGAGTATGAATAATTGCACTTTGGGAGAAGACCCCTAATATTGGTAATTGAAATGATGGATGAGAATAAGATCATTCAGGTAATGGGTATAAACAATTTCAAAAGAGAATAAAAAATCAAAAGGCCGAGGATATGACTGTAGGGACTATGGGATGCTCTGTTCACACTATAGGGGAAATTATTCTCCAGGATTGTTTCTTCCTCCCAGTTGTTCCCTGAGAAGCATAATTTAGGATTAATCTAAACACATCAAGAGGCTGGGTAAGGCTGGTGTGGTCTTCAAGACAATGGACTTAGCTTTTATGAGGTACTTGCCCCGCCCTCTTGCCTTTCTCACTATTATAGATAATCATAGTAAGTAATTTGTGATCTTGGACAAACTTCTCCAGGATCTCCTAGCCTCCCATAATCTGGTTCTTAAAGGATTATTCTGCCACCTAAAAGATATCTTTGTGTCTGGAACACTGGGACCTCTAAATCTGCCAGAGAAGTTGGTCAACTGTAAATATGAAGCTAGATGCTTTAAGACATTTGGAAACAATCACTTTCTCATTTTTCAAGTGATTTATTTGGTATTGGCCTGGAGGACTTCCCCATTGCTTATCGTTGCCTTTCCTGTCCTGTTCTAGAGTCTTATTGAAATATCTTTCTTCTTTTGCCCACAGTTCTCAAGGCAGACTTCCTGGAGATGAAAGTTGAGGCCACAGGTATGTGCTTACATACCCCTGCTTACAGAATCTTGTTCCATAAGCCTTTTATGGGATTTTAACTTTTGAGGCCTGGGTTACAATGTCAATCCAGGGAGTAGGAACTCACCTCTATGCCTCAGTTCATTTCCCTAAAATTGCATGACACTTCAAATTAGTTCCTTTCAATTCTAAGGTTTTATGTGATTTAAGTCACCTTCTCCTTTCGTTCTCCCCTAGCTGAACTATAGTGTAGTTTTACAGATTGCCTTTGAATTGGATCCATTAGGAATCCTAGTCTAACATTTTGGGCAAGTATATTTGCTATTTTAAATTTCAGTTCCTTGGTCTGTAAAATGAGAAGTTGGAACCTTCTAACTCTGACAGCTCTTAGATTCTTAAGAAAACAAGAAACTTCCTTTGTAGTATGAACAGATTACCTCAGTGTTTGTAGAGGGACTTCATTCCTTCAGTCCATATAATTATTTCAATAATAGCCACTTAAACCTTCATCCTTAGTCCCATATATTTGCCTAATGCAGAGTGTTATCATATTTATTGTCCAGTTCTATGGAAATCACATGCCAGAAGTAAGGAGGGTAATATATGTTCTAACTCAAATAAATGAACTGAAGTTTAGAGGAATAAGTGATTTCCCAAGGTCATAGGAAAATTGGAGGCTAGGAAAATACCTTTCTCTACCTTGGACTTCTGATTGCTTATCAGATTTCTGATATGATATGAACTAATGTATACATAAATGAGACCAATGGATCTAGAGATTAGCTTGCCACGTGATCCCTAGTCTTCCTTTTCTTCCTATCTCTGCCAGTCCTCAAAAGTCTTTGGGTAAATAACTTTCTCATTGTCTGCCCCCATAAAGGTGAAGTCCCAGTCAAAAGAGTATTGGATATTGTAGAACCATTAAAAAATGGTTGCGAGGGGATGGGGATTTAGCTCAGCGGTTCGGTGGCCTGCCTTGCAAGCGCAAGGACAAGAGTTCAATCCCTGGTACCAAAAAAAAAAAAAAATGGTTGCGATGCAGGTGAGGGTATCTCAGAAGTTCCAATATTAGATTTTCTTGATAAGCTTGTTGGGAGGAAGAGTTGAAATCAATGTCATAAAATCTGTATCCCTGATTATAGCACTATTTTAGGGATGTTTCATGGAATCTGAACTGCAAGAACCTTTTCCCAGCCAGCCTCTGTTGCTCAGATTAGCTGCCAATTGCAGGTTTAGCTGCATACCAAGAAATGTCCATATTTCAGTGGCTATTAAGTATTTAGCCAATAATGCTAATTGCATACTCTTTTCTTTCCCTTTCAGGTTTTAAAATCCTTGGCCTTGGGGGACTCTTTCCATGTTCTGAAAGGGTCTACTTCAAACCTCTTCTGCTAAATCATTTTGTGCTAAAGAGCAGCTCCTTCCTGGCCTTTTACCTTCAGGCTCTGAGAATTCATAAAATAAGGAGCACATCTCCCAGATACATGTTTATTTCTCCTTTGTATTCTGTTTCCATCCATTCGGAAGGTCTATATTGAGCTCCTGTTGCACTGTGAAATGGCTGGACTCTCTCAAGGCCCGGACTCTGCCAAAACCAAGATATCCACTGATGAATCAAACAGGGGAGCCTGGTTTTCAACTCTTTCTGAAATTCCTGCTTCCTCAAAAGGACATTGAACTTGGAAAGAATCAGGGCTAGAGCTCCATCTCAGCAGTGTTTCACTGAACTAAAGACCACTTGAGTTGGGGTCATTGCTTACCTTGTTTGGCCGAGGGGAGTAGGAATATTTGCTAAACATTGGAGAATCTTATCACGTCTCTTACTTAGGATATGGACACTGGTGCCAAGTTGGCACTCTGATGCTGCAGCACATTGCCAAGAACTTGTTTTCTCCTGTGGTGTTAGATGGCATGGGTGATGCCCCCATAGGATCCTCCTCCCATGTGAACTCAAGAAGGTGGCCTACCTGCTCTTGTAGACAGCCACTTAGGACAAGTCTGCAAAGCATATTTTGTATATCAAAGTCTAGGTCTATTTGGATTATTGTTCCTCTCATCTTCACCTTCACCTGATAGCGTCTTTTCTAAGCAATCAAGAAGAACAAAAACAAAATTGGAAAATGTTTCTTTAAAGAAAACAGACTGTGTTTGTCTTGTAGACGTTCCATTATTGGGTCAAATGTTAGGAAAAATTAAGATGAGTTGAGGTGCAGCAGATATCATTATAGTTTCATTTTGTCTTCTGCTCATAGGCTCTTTTTTTATCTTAAAAAAACAGTTCTTAACCCAGTGCCCATGGATTCAAGAACTCCATCATGCCCCTGAGATGATACATATAATCCCATGACAGTATGCCTTTTCTAGGCAAATGAATTTCCAATGAGCCTGAGACCCAATAAAGGTTAAGAATCATAACCCCTGAGATAAAGACTCTTTTTAGTACCCATAAAGTACTTTCTTAGAAGGGGCTTTAAAAGGAACTTAGTCCACTATCCCAGTTTACTGCAGAGAAAGTTAGTAGCCACAGCAGAACAAGATCCCAGGTCTCCAGGCTCCTAAGCAAAATTGTTTCCATTACACCACACTTACATAGCAAAGATCCTTATGTTTGGTGACTTTAATCATTATTTTGAGGATTTGGCTTTTACCATCTTTATTGAGTCCCACATATTTCCCATCAATTTACTATCTCAATCACTGGAAGGGACTAAATAAAAACCAGTGCAGTGGGTCAGAAAACTAAGGAATAGATCTTTCTGGATCTGTTAAAGGGAACCTGCTAACATATCAAAGTTTGTATTCCCTTACAGACACCTATCTTTAGGGTTTGTGTAACTATAATGTGGTCCAGTATGAGAGCTTTCCAACTTGCTGTGTTCTAGCAAGGCCCTGCTATTTCGTTTGTGAAGTGGAGGAAGAAGCACATATGTCTAAACCTACATGCCTTTGGAACAGTGCTACTGAAAGGAGGTAGTCACTTTTTAGACTGAACAACAAAAATGTTTTATTCATGAATGAGGAACATGTCTAAACACAGTGAAAGCCTTTATGAATGTAATTAAGTAGAGACTTGAAACCATTTTAAATCGTGGCCACAGTGAACTCTCTACCCAGTCTCAAAGGCTATGTTGCTAAGAAATCAGGAGCAAGAGAGCCAAGTGGTCATTATTCCATCTTCTACTTACCCCCAAAAGTAGTCTCTGTGAAGCTTGCTGCCCTCTTGTTGAGTCCTAATTAGTGACCTGTTATTATGACGGACTAAAGTAGGTAGTTGTGCAGAATTTGGCCATGCAGATGGTAGAGACATGGTTTGACTGGTTTTTCTTGAGAGAAAATGCCACAGTCATCACTACACATACTGGAAAATTATTGAAAGGCATAGAAATGCATTGCAATTCTAGTGGAAAAGGTATCCAGAAACTTGACAAGGAAATTGCTGTGTTGCCAGGAACACAGATAAAGAGCCTAGCCTGGTGAGATATGGACCACTAGTCTCACTGAAAGCCAGAGAATAGTAACTGGCTAGCTCTACCCCTGCTCTGGGCTATCCCCAAAGAATGTACCACAGTGTCTCCTATTGGCCCTCAGATTTAAAGAGCAAAAGCTTCTTTGGAGAGGCAGGATATTTTTGGATGAGACTGGCTTGGCCTAGGCTTGACAGATGGTCATTCAGAACAGGTTATAGCAGGAAGATGGTAATAAGAGAGTGGCTGCTATAGGAAATTATCAGCAACCTTAGCCAGTAGTTTAGAGAAACTGGCAATGGATGGACTATAGCTCTTGAACTGGCAATGATAATAAAGAAGCTAACACTTATTAAATACCTACTAAGTGGTAGATGTTTCCTATATATTATTTTATTTCATCCTTATAACAATCACGCAAATACTCATTTAATTTTACAAATAAAGGAATTACAGCTCAGTGGGCTTAAGTAACATGCTCAAGGGTACATAGATAGTAAAAAATAGAGCAATGATTTGGATCCAGGAATCTCTGACTCTGTACCCCATGCTATTTTCTCTTTGTCACAGTGAGGTAGCTTTTGAGCAGAGGCCACATTACTGGATCTGGCAGGACTATTTATGCCTGCCTGCTTAACAAAATATTAAAAAGTAAGCATGTGAGGGAGGGAGGAGATTCAAGTCCATTACAGGGGGATGAAAACTGGGCTGAAAGATAATCCCAAGTAGGGCTTTCTCTTCACCTTCAGTTTACCTATTTGGTAATGATTTCCTAAAAAGCCTACTTAATTTACAAAGGCAAACGGTCCTTATAACGTCTTTGTATTTCACAACTACTCTGCCAAGGTTTTAGCATGTACAACTTCAGTCCAGGAGATTAGTGACCCCCAATAATGTAGTTTGAGAAGCAGAAAAAGGTTTTGTGCCTCTTTGATATTTGATGACTTGGACTCATAGCCCTACAAAGCTTTTCTGTGGTGACAGAAAATATCAGGAGATGGTTTAAAAAAGAAATACTGAATTTTTATTTTTGAGGTTGAAAATGCATGGAGGATGTACAGCCACTGAGAGGCAAAACTAGGCATTCAGATTCAATAGTAAAGTGCTGTCACGTAAGTATTTTAAAAATACTATCATGGGGAATTTGCCATCCATTTTCAAGAAGTTCCTTGATTCTGTAATAACAAGAACAAATAAAGTAATAGAAGTAGTTCTGTGACTAGAAAAAGGTTTGAGAGAATATAGATCAATGATGTTATTATTTAAGTAGCCACAGACAAGTGGCCTTGACACATTAGAAGCCCACAAAAACTTTCAGAAACAAAAAGTTGCAGAGAGGAACAAGATAACTTAAGATGTTTTTAATGACGAAGAGTCATTTTCACTGAAAAATGAAGCAATTGATGCCAAGGACATTAATAGAGAACTTGAAAGACTGCCTATGTGAAGCATATGTGTGAAATTAGAAAATATTATATAGTGGGGCCTATTCGTATGACTTTCAATAAAGTATACAGACTGTATAGAGTAAATGGCCTTCATGTGCAATTTTATCATGGAAATAGTCTTTGAGTATTTCAGGCACAATGGTACAGCTACTGCTCACATTGTCTTTTACAAATCTAAGAAGACCTAGGCACAGAATTCTTTCTGAACCTAAGAAGCTCAATCTGCTGAATGCAGTTTGTATAATGGCCTTGTCATTCCCTCAGGCCTCACGACATTGCTGTGCAATGCTAACACTCCTATGTTACAGATAAGGAAGGTTGAGGTTCAGAGAGGTAAGAAATGATTGCCCAAATTTACACACTAGGAATGGATAAAAAAGTATGACTGGAAGCTACAGAGGGCTTTCTACTGCCCTTTATGGTAGTAGAGAAAATGAATCCCAAAGATAAAGGAGAATATGCCTAGAAATAGGACTGATGAAAACATCTGCAAGTCTTACTACTCAAAATGTGGTCTGAGCATCAGCATTACCTGGGAATTTCTTAGAAATACACATTCTCAGGACCTAACCTAGACATCTAGAATTAAAGTCTTTTTTTTTTTCTTTTGGTACTGGGGATTGAACTTGGTTCCTTATACTTGCAAGGCAGGCGGCAGAGCCACTAAACTGAATCCCCAGCCCTGTGGAGTCTGTATTTTAGTTAGATCTTCCAAGAGATTCCTGTGCACACTGAAGTCTGTGAAGCACTGGATACAGCTGATCTTATAAGTTGGAAGAGGTTACAAACATCGAGTACACAGCTGCCTGCTTCTTGCATTGCTTTGCACATATCCTTGTGCTTTGGTGAAAATGAATGAAGTTTCTTCATCTCAATAATGAAACCAGCATAGGGAATAAGACTGAAAGTTACTGGGCTTTCGAATTCTGTCCAGTAGAGACCGAAGAAAGGCAAATTGGGGCAGTTGGAAAGAACTCCTTTCAAGAGCCTCAGGGGTCCATGTTCAGCTTTGTCACTGGCTCCCTGCAATGCTGAACAAGTCCACCTCTCTCTTCCTTGGCTTCAAATTGTTTATCTTTAAGCCAGGTAATTCCAAGGGCTTTTCCACCTTTGACATTCTGTTACCCTCAGGTGCGGATTTTGCCAAAGCCTTCATTGTTCTGAAAACAGACAACAGTATAGCAGGACCTAGATAGATGCTTCTAGTAACAGGCCTCACACTGAAAGTTTTTTCTCTGTCACATGTTTATACTCATTGATGCATTTGAACCTCACACAGCTGTGTCATCCCCATATTATTGAGACTCGGAGAAATGATGTGTTATGCCCAAAGTCACATAGGTAGGAAACAGAGTGGCTTTTACGTTGTCTGGTTTCTCTTGTTGCACTACTTCTCTGCAAAAACAGCCCTTCAAACCCTGAGTTTTCAAGGGAAATATGGAATCCAAGTTCTTAATTGCTTCAGTTCAATTGCTGCAAAACATTTTTTTCCTCTTAGGGCATCTAACCTTTGTTTGACTTGAAATTTTGCAGAACACTTAGGTCCCATACATCATTTTGTCTGCAGAACAGCCCTATAAGTTAAGGATAAAAAAATTTGCCCCCATATGACAGACACACATTGAAGCCCAACAGCAAGGCATAAATCTTCTCTTGCTGCTGTAACAAATCAGAAATTTAGCAACTTAAAACAACATGTATATATTATCTCACAGTTTTTGTAGGTCAGAAGTTTGTGATAGAATGCCTAGATTCTCTGCTTAAGTTTTCACTGAGCTAAAGACAAAGTCAGATGGTTGCCATCTGAGGCTCGGGGTTCTCTTCTTAACTCAATGATTGTTGAAAGAATTCCATTTCTTATTTTGTGACACTGAGGCCCTCACTTTACATATATGTCTTGTTCCATCTTCAAATGAACAACAGTGTGTCAAATCCTTTTGCTTCCCCTTCATTTCTGTAGATTTCCTTTTTTTTTTGATTCTGCTGTTTATAGTTCACCTCATAACTGAAGTGATTTCATTGGGCCCACTCAAATAATCCTGGATTGTCTCCCCATCTTTTTTTGGTCTCTATCTTAAAGTTAGCAGTAATAATGTTAATCACATCTTTAACATCCCTTTTGCCATGTAATCACAGTTGTGGGGATCAGGGTATGGAAATTTCTTTGGAGTCATAATGGGTGTTTACACCAGACACAAAGCAGTTGCTATTAAAGCCCTGCCTTTCAGTATAAAGGCACATTGTTATCAACAGATTAATCCTGGATTGCAATAAAATAACACATCGCATGCTACCTCATGGGTAGCTAGAAATATCAGAGTTGCTGAACTTCTCCCATCTGTCAAGTACACATAAAATTGGGCAGCACACCAGAAGAAGTAGTGGCAAGAATGCAGTGGCGAATCTGAGAGCCTATAGTATTCCAAGATGGCATCTTGTTGTTGATGACTAGTCCATCAACCAGTTTCAATCCATCCCTGGAAGGAGAGGCAGAAGGATTTTCCAGAAAAGTCTAAGTCCAATTGCCATGTTACTTGGCCATTACACACTTGTCTACTACATGAAAAGTATGTTTCTAGGTGTTTTTTATGGATTTTGATGAATGTGTCCTAATAACAGTTCTATGTGGCAAGTCATGATATTGGTTCTACTTTGTAGATGAGAAAATGGAGGAACAGAACTTTTCAAGTTCTCACAGCCAGGGAATATTGAATTCAGGATTCAAATTTAGATCATTTCCTTACTTAATTCCCTGGGAAAATCCTAGTCCACTATCTTGGGAAAATTCCCCTAGAGAAGAGCTTAAGGCCAATTTGATTTGAAAATTGCTTATATCTTTGTTCCTCTGAGCTTGTCCTCAGTGACTTGGTGTTCTGATGATATCACAAAATCAGAACAGCTGAGCATTCTGAAGGCTTTTCTTTACTTTAGTAATATGCTAGGTTTTATGAAGCCCATGACGTGCAAAGTAAAGATGCCATATCTTTTTCAAAGGCTAGGAGACTATCAGGTCAGATAGATGGGGTCAAAATGGAGCAGCTCGAGGAATGTGCTGTATAGAATAATACTTCCATTTGGGGGCCACCCGTGAAACATGGGATCTCCACATTTTGGTTGCGTGTTAGCTTTCTGTTATATAACAAATACCTCAGATAATCAACTTAGAAAAGGTTTTCTGGTTCATAGTGTTAGAGGTTTAAGTCCATGGTTGGTTGACCTTGTTGCTTTGGTTGAGGCAGTACATCATGGTAGGAGCATATGGCAGAGCAAAAGCATCCACAGTCAGGAAGCAAAAGAGACCAGAAGAGGAAAAGGTTAGGGCCCCACTATCCCCTGCAAGAACCTGAAGACCTCCCACTAGGTTCTCCCACTTTGCAATAGTACCATGCTGGGGACCAAGCCTTTACCCTAGTGACACTTTGAGGGACAGTCCAGATGCAAACTACACGCACTCAAGTTTCATCACTTTCTCTGAACTTCTGTAAACTCTGAATATCCTAGCTCCCAGAATTCCCAAAAATGGCACATAGAAATAAGACTGAAAGGGAAGATTTTTCTGGATCTGGGGAGCAAAGCTGTAAGGTAACCTCTATGACCTTTCTCAGTCATTGGCATGACTTTCCACTGATACTGTCAGCCTTGGATTTGTTACTTTGGTTTGTACTTCCTACTCCCACCCTGGTCCCATAATGCTGTCAAATCCCATCCCAATATAGTTCCCAGAACCACAAGGATGTGAGATACATGTGGTATAGATAGCCCGAGTCCTGATAGTTTCTCACTTCCTTATCCGTACTGCCATCCTGTGAGATCCAAAATTGTCTCTCCCTTCTGCTTCAGGAAGCTAGAGATTAAAGAAACTGATTTCCTCTGTTGCTCCCTTGGTCTTCTTTGCTAGGCACTGTCAATTAGACCCTGGCCTCGACCCTCCACACTGAAGGAGCACAAGCACCATTATCATATACATTTATGCTTTAATACATACATCACATCTTCCCTCATTCCTCATGTTCTCTCATGCCATGGATAAGATCAAAGATTTCCATGGTTAAGAAAAAATGGGCCTAGAGACAGATTGTGGAAATTTATTCCCATTTTGCCACTTGGGAGCTATACTAATATAGATGAGTTACTTCATCCAAATATTCATAGTAGGACTGGTAGTGGTAACATTTACCTGCCTCAGTTACTACCCAGGAGTGCAATCTTCTATATATCCACCCAGGGCTGAAGTACTGAACTCTACTGCACAAGAAGATCTTCCTGAATTTTGAGCACTATCAGATTCATAGACTCCTCTATGCGATGTAATCTGCTTTTTAAAAAAAATGCCCCTTGGCCTCATGATTAACCATCCCAACCCCTATCTCTCTACCTAAGTTGTTCCCAATCATCAGTTTTTTTTCTATTCTTGTTCTATCATTGAGGAATTCATGATAACAACGTAGGCCCATTACCATGCCTTGTGCATTTTCCAACGAGACCTGGAGGACTTCCAGGTTTTGAGGTCTGACAGAAACTTCTTATGACAGTTCAGCTCCTGGTGCTATAGCTCTGGTACCATTACCATCCTAAGCATCCCTCCTGCTATTGTGGGAAGCAGCTATCTCTCACAATACTGCATTGGTGTCCTTTCCTGCTACATCTTGCCCTCTTGTTTTCATTGCAATTGTGCTGTGGCATTCCTTTAAAGGTACTCAGGAAGAGGGTGGAGAGAGGAGTAACATTGTCCTACTACCGACCAATTTCACACTTAATCTAGGACCCTTCTCTGTCTAAGATATATTTATATCCAGCAAGAAATCACATACTCCTTGAGGTGAAAAAGAAATCACAAAATGCCTTAAGAAGTGGATCTAAAAATCCTTTAAATTGATTTAAAGAGCTCTGAGAAAAAGCATAGCAGACAATTAGGCCCCTCCACTGTGACAAAGGCAGGTGAGGGAATTCAGCTCTAAACAAAGGGACAAGTTACGAGAATCAGATCTAGAGCCTTTGCATGAGATGTATTTCTAGAACTTATGGCTTTGGTGGTTAAAAGAGGACATGCAACGGAGTTGTGGTTCTCTGAGACCAAAGAAAGAAAACAAATATTGTTGAATATATATTGTATATAAAGTAGCAAGTAGGGGAGGACTGGATTCTTGAACAGTTTTAGTGGATCTGACACTAGATTTAAGATGATAATTGGATTAAAACATTGCTACAATCTGCCATACATACTACACACATTTTATATATGCCTCACTTTACAAGCTGTCCTATTATCTCCAAGTCAATCAACATCTTGAGCCATTATCCAGCTCTGGGAGAAAAACTGATTTCCATTCAAGAAGATACTTCTTCATGAGCTACTTCCTTTTTTTTTTCTCTGCAAATCTGAGAAATAATTATATTTTGAAGGGGTGGATATGACTTTGCCAATTCAACAAATATATGTTAGTCTGTATTAGTCACTGCTCTCTGTGCTTTGCAAATATGAATTCATTTAATACTCACAATAAGCCTATGCAGAAAGCATTATTATCATTATCACCATAAAGATGAAAAAACTGGAAGACAGAGAGAATAAATGACTTCCCCAAGGTCTTATTG